CTCAACTGGAATTCCATCACCTCCACTAGCTTTGTTCATAGTGATGCTTCCTAAGGCCCACTTGACTTCACATTCCAGGATGTCTGGCTCTAGGTGAGTGATCACACCATCCTGGTTATCTGGGTCATGAAGATCTTTTCTGTATAGTTCTATGTCTTCTTGCCACCTCCTCTTAATATCTTCTGCTTCTGTTAGGTCCATACCATTTCTGTCCTTTACTGTGCTCATCTTTGTATGAAATGTTCCCTTGATATCTCTAATTTTCTTGAATAGATCTCTAGTCTTTCCCATTCTATTGTTTTCCTCTATTTCTTTACATTGATCACTGAGGAAGGCTTTTTTATCTCTTGGTGCTATTCTTTGGAACTCTGCATTCAAATGGGTATATCTTTCCTTTTCTTTCACTTCTCTTCTTTTCACAGCTATTTGTAAGACCTCCTCAGAGACACTCAACAACAGCAAAACCACCTAACAGCCCCCTCTTTATATTAACCCAAGTGGTGTCTCAGATGGTGAAGAATATGCCTGCAATGCAGGAGACTGGAGTTCAGTCACTGGATCAGGAAGTTCCCCTGTAGAAGGAAATGCAACCCACTCCAGAATTCTTGCCGGGAAATCCCAGGCACAGAGGAGGCTGGGGGGCCACAGCTCATCGTGTGCAAAGAGCAGGACGCGGCTGAGCAACTAACACTGGAGTGCCTACTGCTTATTTATCAATGACGACCAGCTTTGCTTTGATCTTCTCACTTTCTCCAGAAAAATTGCAAAGTTAGCTAATCCCTGAATTGTCCCCTGATTTCTCATAGCAGTTAGTTCAGAAATGGCTTCCTCTTCTTTAAGCCCTGCTTAGAATCACTCAGCACAAGACCAAATCCTTTAACAGACCCCTTCCAAAATTCTCCTTGAGACTTCAACACTCTCCCTCGCTGCCCCAACTTAAATAATCTTTGTTTCACTCACATGTTTTCCCATGGTCCCTGGCTGGTGAATTTCAATAAGTTAAACTGTGACAGGTTATTACATTGCATATTGAGTAGCTATTCTCATGACAGCTTGCCAGTGGTAAAACATGAATACTAACTACAGAAAAGCCTATAAAAAGTATAACAGACACTGTGGTTAAAGCACTGGATTTGTTGATATTTTTCCTCTTAGTAATTTCTTCCTCATTTTCCTTTCTATTTTCCTAACTTCTTTAAAATTGAGTAAAAAATTATATTCCTAATGAGCAATATTGTGTTAAAA